CTACGCCGAATCTCCATGGAATCAAAAAGGAGGAAGTTGGACCTACACCAATATACCGTATTAACAAAACACCTTGGTGAAGACAGACCATGTCTGTTACACTCGATGGCACTCGTAATATTCCGTGGTTTCAATCGTGATGCATCGGGGTAGTTGCAAAATATATAGCTCTCTTTGTTGGTCATTATCATTTGCAGAACCTGTAGTGACGTCATTCTGTTGTCTTTACGAGGCGTTCTTGTCCAAGAATAACCTTTCAGCAAGGGCGTTCTATAGATTGTACTTCTGTTAAGAGAAAGGGCGGTGCTGCAGCCAAGTGGTTACAGAATTCGCTCGTTATGCCAAAGATCCGGGTTCGATTCCCCATATAGGAACAATGTGTGAAGCACATTTCTGGTGTCCCCCGCCCTGATATTGCTGGAAAATTGCTAAAAGTGGCGTAAAAACTACATTCACACACTCACTCACTGCCTCTGTTTAGAGGAAGTCCTTCTGCCCCAGACGGGCGGTGGGGTAGCCTAATGGTTAAAGCGTTGGCTCGTCACGCCGAAGACCCGGGTTCGATTCCCCACATGGGCACAATGTGTTAAGCCTATTTCTGGTGTCCCCCGCCGTGATATTGCTGGAATATTGCTAAAAGCGGCATAAAACCAAACTCAGTCAGTCAGTCTGCCCCAGACATATTCTGCAGAACTACCACTCGCCCTAGAGAACAGTGGAGATGTTGTAAAGAATCTCACTCTGTGATTAACCTTACATTCCCTGTACCACAGTATCTTCCCTTCCGCCCAGCCCACTCTACCAGACAAAATCATTGATGAAGCAAGTCTATATGTCCTCAGGTTTTAAATCTCTGAGCTCACTGGGATCCTCCTCAGTTCAGATGGATCTACTTGTTTGCATCAGAATTACATGTATATATAATCAGAGACTAAGCGTCGGTATGGTCACACATAACAATATCGACTTCAGGAAGCGTCACGTAAAATCCCACAAACGACCAGGGGAGATAATTCTGTGGACATAAAACGTCTAAATCATGCAGTTTGTATTGTATGTGCTCATCTCTGCCCTCAACCAATAAGAAAGCGGGAAAATACCATAATAAAACCCAGAAAAAGTGTTTTTCTTAACTGTGTAACCAATTTAAGATATTTTTATTAAATATAGATCACTTCGTAATAGTTATTTAATTGATATATGATACACATTGGTATTGTTATAATGTAGATAAACGACGTTCAAACTCACTTGATGTTTTTATTGAGTGTGAATATGTGAGAGTAATTATTATTGGATTAGGGCATAAATGCCCACAGAGGCGGGAAAAATCACGATTAGAAAACTTTCTATTATTTCCCATCAGAATCAGACTTCAATGGACCGCCTCCGTGGTGTAGTGGTTAGGGCGTCCGCCCGGAGAGCGAAAGGTCGCGGGTTCGATACCCGACCGCGTCATACCAAAAGACGTTAAAATATGGTACTTGTTGGTCCCTGCCTGGCGCTCGGCATTAATGGGTACATCAAGGACTGGTCGGCTCGGAGTCAGTATAATGTGTCTGAGTGGGGTATTCATGCTTCACTGCGGCACCGTATCTCAGTGGGCTAGCACTATAAAACCAGCTTAAGTCTGGGCTAGTACAAGCAGCAGCACATACACATACACACGCATGCACGTCGTCATATGAGCGAAATATTCTCAAGCACGACGTTAAACCCAATTTCACCTCACCTCACACTTCAATGACCCGTGAAGGTCCGGGTTAGAATTAACCTTCAGTAACCCATGCTTGTCGTAAAAGGCAACTAGAGAGATCGGGTGGTCAGGCTCGCTGGCTTGGTTGACACATGTCATCGGTTCCCAGTTGCGCAGATCTATGCTCATGCTGTTGATCACTGGATTATCTAGTCCAGACTCGATTATTTACAGACCGACGACATATAGCTGGACTCACTCACACTTCAATGAAGGATACCCTAGTCTGTCTCACAGTCCCTTAACCACATTATTTTCCCTACTGCCAAGCCCTCTCTGCAATGCTAAAGCCTAAAATGAAGCAAGTCTAGATTTCCTCAGGTTCAGGAATCTTGCAACTCACTGGGGCTCATTTCAATTTAAATGGGTTTATTTGCTGCTATCAAAATTATATATATTCAGGAACTAAGCGTTAGTCTAAGGGATACCCGTGAAGATCCAGGTTAGAATTGATCTTCAGCATCCCATGCTTGTCGCAGGAGCGACTAACGGGATCGGGTGGTCAAGATCTCTGTCTTGGTTGACCCATGCCATCGTATCAATACTAGATCGATGGGTATGTTGTAGATCACTGGATTGTCTGGTCCAGATAAAGGTTACATGAAAAAAAGTTCAGTGAGAGATACTGACAATGTAATCACACACATATATTTGTTCATATGCGGTATTTCACAACGGACTTAAATGTGTGTGACTTTAGTGAAGCCACACGTGTAAACACCGACGTGCTCTCTTAGCGAGTTCGGCGTTAAACAACCAAGCAACCAACTTCAATGAGGTCGGGAAATACGAAACACAGAAAAAAATAGCGACAACCGTACACGATGAATGCGACGTTTCCGGGTTGATATGAGCACCGTTACAAATTTAATTTACAAAATTGCTGCACTAAAATCATATACATATCAGAGGTATGGTGGCAGAGCTGGCTAAGGCGCCAGGCAAGTGACCAGCGAGTTTGAGGCGCCAGTATCGAGCCCATCTGTCACTGGGTCTAATAAACTTGCAGTCAACTTTGTGTGCAGACTCTTTCAGTGTTGTCACAACCCCCAGTGTACAGTACACAACCCTGTGCACTTAAAAGAAACCAAGAATTCGTTGGTATATGACCAGATGGTGGCCACATGAATACGTGCAAACACCCAGTTGCGGGTACAGCAACGTGCAGGAAAATTGGACAAAGTACTGTGACTATCTGTCCAAGTCCACCCAGTTCTGAATGGGTACCTCGTAAGGATGGGAATGCCACATTAACATGGTGCGCCTAGTGTCTGCAAGAGTTGTATACTCCTCAGGGAGTTGAGATTGAAATACGATGTGCTGTGAGATTGACATCTAAGGATAGAGGAGAAAACAAAGCGCCTGTGAGCAGCCTAGCTCGAACTCGGGGCAATATAAATAGATTTTAATTAAATGAAATAAATAAAACAAATAAATAATATTTACATAATATATATTATTAGTATCTTTATCATATATATGATACACAGTGAGTTAGTTAATATTTAGCGTCACTTCGGCAATGTTTCAGCCATATCACAACAGTTTGAAACATGAAGCCTCATAGATGGAAATAGAATTCGTGGGATTGATAGGATATGATAAGTAAACCAACACAGTCAATAATATAAACATGTGGTTTGGAAGCCAGTATTCAGATCATGAGGAATAAGAGATATGTAATGTACAAAAGAGAGGTGATTGTATTCCAGAATATATCTCCATGGAGTTATCTTCCTTGTTCATAATACCAGTTTTGCCTTTTCGTGCATTTGATGTGTTTTATAAATGTACATCCAAGTTGTCCATATAGGGACTTTACACTACTCCAAATGTGACCACAGGTATTTTCAAGCAGTTGAGTGCAGGACTGGGGTTAGTCGGTTTTACTCGGAAATACTTTTCAAACCCTGGTCTTCGGCGTGACGAGCGAACGCTTTAACCACTAGGCTACACCACCGCCCCCGACACTTTTGTGGCACTCAGTGATATCAATAATTTACTGAAAATGTTTAATTTGTTTATGTTTCCTACATTTAATACATACGATAGTAAGTTGGGTTTGAACATTATTACGGCTATATCACTGCGTGTCTGCTTTATGGGGAGGAAAACCTGAAGTAATCTCAGGCGTCTACAACTTAGGCTCGAGAATGATACTGGCGACTTGGAAACAATATCTGTCTGAACATCGATTCGAACCCGTGGATTTATATTTTCAATGTTTGTATTTAAATGAACCAGATATAAATATATATTAAGTCCAAGAAGAGAAAAGTATTCCAGGCAAACTGATACTTACCATCTCCTACTGCTGTTGAAACATTCTGATGTCAAAATGTGTCTTGCATACGCCCTTGACCTTCTACATAACACATCCACGTCACTGTTTCCAGCGGTATCGCGTTACAACAATGAAAGCTGTTTTGATCAAGAAGGATGTAACTGATGATGTATCGGACTGTGTTATATTTAGAGACCCGCAGACCCGGAAATGGTTTGACAGAGGGGATTCCCCTTTGTTTACACATCAGCTGACCTACATGAGGCACAGTTAGGTCATATATAAATAGAATGTGTAATGTGGTCTCCCGATCTACATTGTTTGTATATACTTTATATTTGCAAAACGCTGCTCTCAGCTTTGCAAGCTCAGAGACGAGTCGGGTTGAAAATAGGCACCCAATGGTTGACGCCATGAGCATCAATCAACGCAAATAAGATAAGCGACACATTTTAACCATTCATCTTAACAGATGCTGTGAGACCAGTTTTGTGTTTCACTACCCAAACGTCTCATTTTTCTTCTTGACGACATTCAGTCAGAATAAGGGCATTAACATTAAAATTAAGGTGAAATAGCGTTTACAACAACGCTGTCAAGATTGTGGGACTTGTGCGTGCGGCTACTCAACCCAATCTGGACAGGGTCACGTGTAACTAAAATTTGGTTTGGTTGTTCGGGGCCACCTCACTGTGCCCGCTGCTTTTGTTTAGGTAACTGGTCCAGACAGGCAGACAATAGGGGGATTAGTTACAGTCGGTTCTAAAAAAGACATAAACAATTCATTATTGTGGTAAGTATTTTTTTTTAATCCAGGACAAAATCCACCCGGACAAAATCCACCCCAAAATTGCAACCTAGGACAAAATCCACCCGGACAAAATCCACCCCTAATAAATTCCACCCTAAGAATGCTTGCAATGCTTGAGAAAAACAACTTGATCAAAGATCAGGACACACTAAAACTTTTAACAATAGCAATTTGAGAAGGGTGGATTTTGTCCATTTTTGGGCTAAGACGAGGTGGATTTTGTCCGGGGTGGATTATGTCCGGGTGGATTTTGTCCGGTCACCATTTTTTTATTCAGGTTTGCTTATAAATTCATTATTGTACGTAATGTACATTCAATGTTGTACATAATAATTATAACAAACAAATCAGAAATTAAAAAATCATAGCCCTACAATATTCCAGCTATACGGCCGCTGTATGTACTAGTAAATGATCGAGTCTCAATCAAACCAGTGATCAACAGCATGAGCATCGATATACACAAGTGGAATACAATGACAAGTGGCAACCAAGTCAGCGAACCTGACCACCCGATCCTGTTAGTTGCCTCTTTCGAAGCATGGGTTATTGGGTCGTATCACTGTGAAGTCATTATGTCATGTGTAACAACTAAATATTGGTCAACCTGTTCAGAAACAGCATGACCATCGATCTGCGCAATTGGGAACCGATGAAATGTGTCAACCAAGTCAGCGAGCCTGAACACCCGATCCCGTTAGTCGCCTCCTAAGACAAGCATGGGTTACTGAAGGCTCATTCTAACCCGGACCTTCACGGGTTCTATCTATCCACCCGCGATGATGCGGGTTAGAGTGAGTGAGTTAAAATTTTAATTTTTGGCAATATGTCAGCCAATCGTGTAAAACGTATTTCAATATTAGAGTTATTAATTTCAACGGGACATGTCAACGCTGGAAATCAGATATTAGAGAGAAAAAATAAGTTTAAAGGTTGTTTGTTTTTACTTAGGCCGAGCATGCTAGTCACGCTTATGAAATGAAAATCACAATCAGTTTCCCTGTTTAGCCGAAACAAGAAGCACATCCTGAAGAGTCTATTCTATCTATCCACCCGCGATGATGCGAGTTAGAATTGTCTTCAGCAGCCTATTCTTGTTTGAGGCGGCTAACGGGATTGGATCGTCAAGCTCGCTGACTTGGTTGGCACATGTCATCGTGTCCCAATTATGTAGATCCATACTCGTGATGTTGATCACTGGATCGTCTGGTCCAAACTCGATTATTTACAGACCACCGTCGAACAGCTGGAATATTGCCGAGAGTTAAACAATGAACACAGACTTTTTTTCTCTCCGCCGGACAGAGACAGGAATGTGACAGAACTAACCAAAATAACAGACATATTGTGGTTAAACAAAATTTTGCGTCACGTAAGTTGACATCTACACGTAAGTCAACATCTACACGTAAGTCGACATCTACATGACGTTATACTAAAGTATTCGTCAGTGCAATCAACATCTGTGACTGAAGTTTTTCTAATTAGAAATTATGCTTTTTATGTCCATGTTGTTCTTAGGACAGGTATTTTTAAACTGACATACTTAAGAAAACATATATATATAAATATGAAATCTTTGCGTCCACGTTAACTCTCTGAAATCGTGGAACCAGAGCATGAAAACGCTCACAAGAGCCGCTCGGGTCTACTCGGCTTATTCCGCTCCAAACATAACTTGCAGAGAAGAGACGAGGGAAGAGAATATCGCGCATAAAGGGCGGTAACTCCGTCAGCCTTCTCGGATTCGTGTAAGTGAATGAAGCGCAGGTCTGACAAAAATCTCATTGATTTTGCATATCAGTGTTATCTGAAAAATTTGTACTATCAGAAGCAATGAATGGGGTTAGCCCTAAAATGATGAGAGAGAAAATCTGTTCCTTTTTGAGAACTTTGAGAGTGGTATTTCTTCATGCTCGTTGGTGCTATTTGACCAACGCCGAGACGGGGATGTCACAGAATGGCCACACCTGCACCAAGTTCACCATATTTTCAAAGCTGAGAAAAATAAACACAGCATTGCAGAAATCAGATTTCTGTTCTTCCTGTATGCTTCCCAATCACAGCGTTGAAAATCTTGTTTTGGTTTAAATATTGATATGCCACCAACCACTACACGGCCCAACAAAAGAAAACATGCAACCATGAATAAACGTGAGTGAGTGAGTATGGTTTTGCGCCGCATTTAGCAATATTCCAGCAATATCACGGCGGGGGACACCAGAAATGGGTTTCACACATTGTACCTATGTGGGGAATCGAACCCGGGTCTTCAGCGTGGTGAGCGAACGCTTTAACCACAAGGCTACCCCACCGCCCCCGTGAATAAGAGAAACATGAAATGGCTATTTGATGGCTATGTGTTTCATACAGGTATCATTTTCGTGTTTTTCACTTCAGGTTTTGCAGTGTTTTGGCTCGAATTTAAGAAAATGTATATTTTAAAATTAGCTAACTAATAGTAGCATCGCTTCCTTCTAGATATTTTTTACTTAAACTGTATGAAACTTTATTCCTCGACACCGGTGTTTTCTGCAATTCATTTCTGAATTTCGAATGCTTTTATTCACCAGTTAATTACTATACAAGCCTAAGACAAGTTTGGTAGATTCTCATTGATGTAGTAGGGTTTTTGTATATCAGGATGTGTGGAATCGAACCCGGATCTTCATCGTAACGAGCGGATGCTTTAACCATCAGGCCATAATCTTGCATGATTTAAAAGTGTATTATAACTTAACAAGTCGGAGAGAGTGATATATTTACAAAATGAAAATTCACTAGCCAGTCGGCCAGTGACTATGGAGAATTATTGGCCCGACTGAATTTTTACTAGCCACGGCCAGTGGTTATTTCGAACACTGAAATCCAGCGTCGATTATCCAGAGCTACAGGTGGACGGTATAGAAGATACCTTCACTTTCTTTATCCACTGTCTACTTTGACGCCTCAAGAATAATGAACGGGTGGCTCGCTTTTGATGATGACATAATGTACTTTTGTATGCACCGCACGGAGAGCGGAAGGTCGCGGGTTCGATCCCCGACCGCGTCATACCAAAAGACGTTAAAATATGGTACTTGTTGGTCCCTGCCTGGCGCTCGGCATTAATGGGTACATCAACGACTGGTCGGCTCGGAGTGGGGTAATGGATAATGTGTCTGAGTGGGGTATTCATGCTTCACTGCGGTATGGTATCTCAGTGGGCTAGCACTATAAAACCAGCTTCAGTCTGGGCTAGTACAAGCAGCCGCACATACACATACACACGCATGCACGTCGTCATATGAGCGAAATATTCTCAAGCACGACGATAAAGCCAATTTCACCTCACCTCACCTCACCTCACCTCACTTTTGTATGAGACCATTTTATGTGAGAGACGGTAATAAACTAGATGTCTATTTACGCTGAATAGTACAGACAATATGTCTATCTCCAAGTATATCTCGTGGGTGATGTATACTATTCACACTTTGCTAAGAATCAAATCATGAATTCGACAGAAAATTATGATGTGGGGTCAAATTTGGTTGAAATATCTAAGCTTATTGTAAGCATGGATCCTAGGTTTCAGTATGTCATTGCATCTTGTGAATCCCATACCTGCTATTGACAGGTGTTGTGTACTTGTCAATGACTTGTTCCATGATTTGCAAAATCGTTCATTGGTGCCATGAACACCATTTTTATGGTTACTCATGTATCAAGTGCATAAAGTTACAGTTAAGTGACAGTTTGCCTAAAGATGGGTTGCCAGATTATTATTTATCCAGTTTTAAATGGATTCAATTTCAAATGATAAATCTACGTTTAAGTAAAGTTGTGAATTTTTGTGATCCTTAGCAAAGTGTGAGTAGTATGTAATACTCTCGTTAAAAGAGTCCGAACAGTTGAATAGGAAATTACCTTTTGACATCAATATCGTGTGCGTTTAATACTGGTCATGTGTGTGTGTGTGTGTGTGTGTGTGTGTGTGTGTGTGTGTGTGTGTGTGTGTGTGTGTGTGTGTGTGTGTGTGTGTGTGTGTGTGTTGTGTGTGTGTGTGTCAACTGGACCAAAGCACTAGTATCAACCACATCAAGCCAGTCACCAGATCCCGTTAGTAGCAACAAGATCATCCCAGGAAAACCAGGTTGGTCGCACATAACAACCAGCATTTGGGCTTTAGTGTAAGCTCAGAGTTTGTTTGTTTGTTTGTTTCTTTCTTGTATAACGCCGCACAAGCAATATTTCACCTATAATTATCTGTAAATATTCGTGTCAGGACTTCGCAATCCAGTGATCAACAGCACAAGAATCGATCTGCGCTATACGGGTTACGACGACATGTGTCAACCAAGTCGGCGAGCCTGACCACCCGATCCCGTTAGTTGCCTCTTACGACAATTCTAAACTGTATCTTCCTGGTTCTCAGAGAATAGGTGAGGTGAAATTTGGTTTAACGTCGCGCTTAAGATTATTTCGCTTATGTATGTGTATGTGTGGCTGCTTGTACTAGCCAAGATGGGTCATCGCTGATAATATGAGGGTCAGGTAAAGTACTGAAATGGTGCAGTACCCGTCAAGATAATTACTTCAGAGCCTGGAATGAATCAGTTATCATGTGGGGTCGATGTGAAACTCACTCACCCACCAAATACGGTGAGGTGAAATGGGGTTAAACGTCGTACTTAAGAATATTTCGCTCATATGACGACGTGCATGCGTGTGTATGTGTATGTGCGGATGCTTGTACTAGCCCAGACTTAAGGTGGTTTTATAGTGCTAGCCCACTGAGATACCATGCCGCAGTGAAGCATGAATACCCTACTCAGACACATTATACTGACTCCAAGCCGACCAGTCCTTGTTGAACCCATTAATGCCGAGCGCCAGGCAGGGACCAACAAGTACCATATTTTGATTTATTCCCGGAGTGGCCCTTCCCACAGTGGTCTCTGAGTTTTCACGCCTTATTAACGACCCTTCCCAGAGTGGCCCCTGAACACCTAAGTGTTCCCACACTGGCCCCCACGTTCACACCTTCTTAACGAGTTGTTTCAAAGTAAAAACTATGAAGGATCTTTTTAGTACTATAAGTTCTCATTTAATTATTGCCTTTTTAAAAAAATTAGACTTGCTAACTGATTTGTAAATAGATATATTTTTTAT